CCCACCCCCCGGGGGGACAAGCCCTTCCGCTGCGGCCTGTGCAGCTGCTGCTGCAACCAGAGCATGAACCTCAAGCGCCACATGCTGCGTCACACTGGCGAGAAGCCCTTCCGCTGCCGCCACTGCCCCTACACCACCGGGCACTGGGACAACTACAAGCGCCACCAGAAGATCCATGGGCCCCCGAGTGCCATGGCCCGGCTGGCCCTGCCTCCCCCTGGGGCCTCTCTGTCTTAGGGCTGGGGGAGAGTGCCCCTTGGGCTGACTGCCCCAGCTGTGCCCGTCATGGCCCTGAGGGGGGCTCAGGCTAAGCTAGGCCTGGCTACTACTCCAAGGACGGCTGAGAGCTGCTGTTCTGGGGAAGGGACTAACCCTTACCCCAGTCATACATAGCTGGTCCGTGGGCCTGCCCCTGCTTGGCAATGGGGTTTAGGCGGTTGGGCACAGCTCAGCCTGCCACATGAACCGCCCCTAGGCCCAGTCTCTTCCCTCCTGCTCTTGTGGGCCTGGCCTGTGGCTGACATGCCCCTCAAGGCTCTGTAATTTATATTGTGCATAAAAGCATTGAACTGTCACTGGAGATAATACCTCACTACATGGGGGTGGGGGAGGGACTGCTCCACCAGGCCTAGTCTAGGAGCCCTCATGTGCCCCACCAGAACAGCTGGGCTCAGGCCATAGCCACACCTGCTCACAGCCCCTTGCTATGGCTTGGGCAGTCAGGACTCAGCTGGAGAGTGGGCCCCAGGTTGCTCACAGGCCTGGCAAAAGGAAGAGGGGCATGTGCAGGGTGGTACCTGGTGCCCTGCTGCAGTTACAGCAGCTCAGGGCTTCTGCACCCTGCCGCCCAGGCCCCCAGCCACACACCCATTACCAATCATGAGTCACTTTAATCACTGGAAATTGTCATGGCCCCGCGGGAAGCAGTGCAGTGGGTACAAGCCTAGGCAAGCCCTTTCTGGATGTGCATTTGGCATGGGGGAAGCTAGGGAGGTGTCTGTCGCCATGGGAACAGCCCCAAGCCTCCACCTCCCCAGCTAAGCCTGCCACAGGGGGCTGCATGCACCCTGGCTCACCCCGCACAGGAGCATTGCTTCCACTGGGAAAGGGCTCCTTTGGTGGGGGGCTGCCCTCAGGGAGGTGGCTCCCCCCGCTGGCAGACGGGGGGCAGGGCAAGCAGCTGGTAACCAGGCAGAGGCACATTAGATGCTCCCCAGAGCCGCACGGGGTGGCAGGGGAGGGTGAGCAGGTTACAGGTCCTCATCCCCGATGCCCTCGAAAGCGTAGTTGCCGTGGAAGTCGTTGGCACCCAGTTCGCCAGCAGAGCCAGAGGGGCTGCTCCCCCGCCAGCAGCGGGGGGGATTTCACAGCTTGCTGGCTGTCAGAGCGCCGCAGGGCCCCATTCGCTCGCCTGCGGAACAGCTGGGGGAAAGCAGAGGGCAGTGAGCGAGGACAGCTGGTTCTCACCCAACCGGGCAGCTACACAGGCCCTGGACCCGCAGGGGGCAGACAGGCCCTGGCCGTTTCTGCTCCAGCTGGAGAGCCTGGGGGTGGGAGGAGACCCAGCCCCAGTCATGCCCCAAGGAAGGTTGAGGCAGCATGAGTGCACGCCTGCGGAACAGCTGGGGGAAAGCAGAGGGCAGTGAGCGAGGACAGCTGGTTCTCACCCAACCGGGCAGCTACACAGGCCCTGGACCCGCAGGGGGCAGACAGGCCCTGGCCGTTTCTGCTCCAGCTGGAGAGCCTGGGGGTGGGAGGAGACCCAGCCCCAGTCATGCCCCAAGGAAGGTTGAGGCAGCATGAGTGCAAAAGAAACAAGTTCATCCTCCTTCCCAGCTGCCCCCTCACCTTGCGGATGCTGCCTCCAGACTTCTTCACCATCAGCTCATCCACCATGGACTGCAGGCAGATGCTCAGCATGATGGCCTGGGCAAGGGGAGAGAAACAATCCCTGTCAGAGCCTGCCCCCCAGGGCACCACCCCTTCCTGCAGCCAGCCACAGAGCTCCAGGAGCAGCCTAAGACACAGGGCCCAGAGCCAGATTCGGCCCCCCCACCAGCCTCTGGGCTGCCAATGGCATGTGGGGCAGCAGAACCCTCCAGCAGCTCCCTGCTCGTGTCAGGGGGTGTGTCTTGCTGCTGGGCACCCCATGGGAGGAGGGGTGCTTCACACACTGCACCTGCTCCCAGCACACTCCATGCAGCTCCCATTGACCAGAACCTTACCAAAGGGAGCTGCCTGAGCGGTGAGTGCAGCATGCAGTCCTCTACCTCCCTCAGGGAGTGCAGTACAGACGCACTGCAGCATGCGGGGTGTGGCAAGCTGCCCGGGGGTCCCACTGGGCTGCTGGCTGGGAGCCACCTGGCCAGCCCCTCCCAGCCAGAGCTTCTGCTCCCCAACTGCCTCCCCAGGTCAAAACCTACCATACGTACCCCTGCCCAAGGTCAGAA